AGTGTAAACAGGCACATGCAGGCACGGGAGACATAGAGAACTGCCAGGTGTTTTGTGAACACAAGCTCCAGGCTGGACATGGGGTATCGCCTGTGCAGGGATGTCTCGCCTGCCCTGCTCCAGTCTGCAACCTGGAGCTGCATCCTCCTTCCCTGCCCTCAGGCACAGAGCCCCCGAGGGCTCTTGTCCAGGCCCGTCTCACCTCCCGCCCTCAGGATGTTGTGGGAGACCCATCTAGGCCCTGGGAGTGGGACTGAGGGCTCTCAGCATCTCCAGACGCGGCTCTGCATCCGACTGTCTCTAAACCTCAACCCCACAGGGCTCCTGGCTGGGAGACGCAAATGGCCTGAGGCAGAAGGTGAGTGTGGGGTGTTGGGAAGAGGGATTGGTCCGGCCGACTGGGGAGGGTCTGTGCCTGCCCCGTGCCTTCTGCAGCTGGAGGAGGACAGGAAAAGAGCTGAAAAATAACGTGCCTCAGAGGCTGCTGTAACTGCGGAACGCTCAGGTCACCGTGCGAGAGGCAGCCGTGAGGTCCATCCCGTCCCTCTTTCGGCAGCCTGGCCTCAGTCCAAGCCGCTGCGCTAGCAGCGAGGAGCAGCCCTGTGGCTGCCAGAGCCCCGACTGCCCCGTGCAGGGCCTGTGCAGCCAGGGTCTCTATGCCTTCCTCTTCCACCCTGCCCCCTCAGCTGGGCTCGCTGGCACCTTGCTCAGTGCCACCTCCCTTCGGGTTCTGCCCTTCCCTGGGGTCACCCTGCTGAGGGACGGGGGGGTGCAGCCAAACCGGCCGTGCTGCCGGGAGCGTGCTGGGCAGCAGCTGGTCTGACAGAGCTATCTGCGCAGCGCTGGCAGCGCTGCACCTGACCGGCAGCCCGCGGAGATACTGCAGGAGGCCTGCGACGGTGAGCAGGGGTAGTGCTGTGTGTGCCCAGGACAGAGCCTGGGCCGCCAGCTGCCGTGCCCTGTCCTGCTCCAGGGAACAGCTCGGGGGCACTTGTTGCGTTCCTGGGCAGAGTTTCCACGTCATTAGTTTGTCACGGCTGCGCCCTCCCATGCTGGGACTGGCATGGTCTGGAGGGGATCCCTGCGGGTCTCTGCAGATCGGTGGGTTTCAGCTCTGTTCGCTTTCCTTCTGGTGCAGCCCTCGGGATTTTGGCAGAAGAACTGCAGGTCTCGTCCCTGGCAGTTCAGACTGCACGTCCTGAGATCTACAAGGGCGCTGCCAAGACGGGGGTGGAGCCTCCGGGAGCTGTGCTGCTGGTCCCGAAAAGCCAGGCAGCAGTGGAGATCGGTTTAAGAAAAGGGTTTTTTTTCTGATTAAAGACCAGCCCAAGGCCACGGCGTCCTTCGCACGCAGCGCGGAAGGGGGGGACAGGAGCCGCCGGGCAGCGGTTGATCCCCGGCCCCCGCACCCGCCCGGCCACAGCCGCGGGGAGCGCGGCGCCTCCCGCCCCAGCCGCCTCCGAGTGTGGCCTCGCTGTCCTCCCTTTCTGCCTACATGTCTCTCATCTGCAGACATTCACACCTGAGAGTTGTCAGTCTGAGGAGTTAGACCCAATGCTTAGTGCTAGAGAAAAGGCAGATGGCATGGTGAGTTGATTTAACTGCCCACTGAAACATCCATAAAATCAGTGTTTATGTTTATCTTGTACTTCCCCAATGCTCTTGGTGACAGTGACTGGGTCATTTTATGGCATAGATAGAAATAATCACAAAGCTGCTTTGGCCTGTGTCCAACCTGGCAAAGTTCTCAGTGCTCTGTACCACAATTTCCACAAAAGCTAAAAGGTTTTTCAGTACATCACCCCCCGCCCCCAATCTCCCCTGCCTTTTCCAATGAGAGTAGTCTTTGCACTAGGAGCTGTATTTTGAATGCTTATACTACAGAATAAGCATAATGGCCTGAGTCCTAGAATAGCCTAGGTGGTCTGCAGTGCTATCACATTATCTTCATATGATAACGTATTAGAAAATAATACAGACTACACCATGTGCAAAGCAAGAAGATTCACATTTTTTGAGCCTCAAGACATGAAGACTGTGTTTGAGTGGGCTTAAACTGCCCCCCAGGAAGCCCATGTTCCCTGCCACATTGCTCGTTTACCTGTAGTTCAAAACACTGCAAAGAGCCAGATTTGGGAGATATGCTTAGAGAATCACCCTGTAGTGTAGCCAGCCACCTCACTTCAGGCTGCATTAGAAAAAGGTTGGAGCCCATTTTAAGTCATCAGAACTGCTTCGGCTTTCCCTCTCCAGGGAGCTCCTGAGCACATGGTGCTTCCATGCAGCATCAGTGGAGAGTATTTTTTGGACCAGAAATGGAATTCATGGCATGTCATTACCACTCTTTTCTTCCTTTTTCTGAGCCTGAGAGAACAACAAACACCAGTAGATTAGTGTTGACTTGCTCTTATTCCTTATAGCATTTTAAATTGCATTGAACTTATTCTTTTAAGAAGTAGCCTTCCTCTCTGTCCACTTTCTTCGTTCAGTTGTCTGGTAAATCCTAACTGAAAGCTATGCAAGTGATAATTGATGTTCTGAGCATATTTGTCTCATAGAAATTAAATAAAAGGTTAGCCTGCACAATAGAAAGGAGCTGACTTGCCTCCCACTAACTTTGCTGGGAGTCCAGCAGAGTTACTTTGTATTTGTACTAGGGTAAGATCGTGCCCCAGACTGCGGAACACCCACATGTGCGCTAGAATGATTAGAGCCTGCACCCAGCACCACAGCTTCGGGTGACATTCCTTTCTTCCCACTCCTACAGAATAGCTGTAACACAACAACAAAAAGAAGCATTTGATTTTTCCGCCCCACCAGCTGAGTATTATATTAGAACTAAATGTTATTGTTGGAGGAAGCACAACAATTCAGTGTTGTCAGTCTAAGGGATTATTGCAATTATTTTAAGCCGAGAGTCATGTAAACATTGGTAAGCCTCATGTATGGAAGAAGACTTTGAACAAACCTAATGAGCCTTGCTCAGTGGCCATGCCCCAGCACAGCCTTTCTCCAGCCAGCTGCCATAGGATCAGCTGCTTCTCTGGGAGCATGGAGGGAATACTTTGAGGAACCGCTGCTGGCTGTCCTTGCAGCAACTGGTGGGTGCTGAGAACTAATGGAATAATGCCAGCCTAAAAGGGAAAATCCAGGGGTGAACAAAGCAAACGTGAATATTTCATGCCTGCTTTTCAGCTACTGCAAATCAGTGAAGATATACCATTACAACAGATGAGGTCATGCCCCTTTAAAAGCAGAGAAATCACAACAAAATTTAAATAGGAGATTGCACTCTGGAAAATCACAAATCAACTGCTTTCTGTCAAAAGAGAGGTAGCTTTACCACACAAATTAGCATCTTCATTGCAGTCAGATCTTTTTTTCTACTGGGTTTTAATCCAAGTATACTTGGAGCTGGGTATTGCTGCTGAGATATGAATGCAACAATGGTGCTTACACATCACTACTCCTTCAAATCAAGGTGCTTCAGGACCTGAATTCCAGCAGAGGCTCAGGGAGAGCTTGTCTTGTTCCTCCCGGCTTCTAGGTTTAGAAAAAAAATGTTATTTGTCCAATGTTCCACACAATAAATTTTGATGCTGAAACTTAAGAGTGCTTGTCCATGAGCAGTCCAAAGTTTCTGAAGGTCATTAGTTCATGCTTGTGCTAACCCCATGTGATCAGCATCACTTACCGCTGCAGGTACTCAAGGATTTATTTGGATCTGTTTGCATGACAGTTTTGATAGAGCAGTGGAGTGGCACACGCTAGCCCTACCTCTGTCCTGTACCCTCAAGGTGGGGGGGGCAGGGCTCCCCCATCCCCAGGTCCCACTGTAGCCCTCAGAGGGTGAGGAGGGGCAGGAGGATGATTGGCATCGCCACCCGCCTGTGCTCCCCAAGTAGGGGAGCCCTGTATCAAACAGTCCCTGCTGGCACGTCGGTCCTCCTTACACCTGCAGAGCCAAGGGAGCCCAATATAGGGGAGGCATGAGCCTATCCTAACATCCCCATTGGGAGCCCTGTGCAGAGGTGGAGAGATGGATTCCCTGGGCATTAAAATGCTTGTATTGAAGCTCACTTCCACTCCCTATGGGGAGGGGCATGAGCAGCCATACACAGTGGGCAAGGTAACAACACAAGGTGAACGCAAGTATCGGCTTATGAAAACCCAGCTGCCCTCTATGTACATGACCCCCTGACTGTACTGCAGTTGAGGACCGAGGGTTTCCATAGCACATAGGGTGAGTGGATGCAAAGCCAAGGAAAGGAGCAAGTTCAGTAAAGGGAAAAAAAAAATAGATGCTTTTTGTTCTACCCTGAAAAGACAGGACCTGAAGGAGCAATATAGAAAATGTTGTTAATAATCTGCTGTCTAATTGACTGAGAAGGTTATTGCTAGCATGGAAACAAACGTTGTTTTTCCAAAAGCTGCCCACAGATGTCAGACTGCTTGGCTGTTGGAGGAGAAAAAGCAGGACTAATACTCTGGGCTGCTTTGCTTCTCAGAAATTGGAAAGCACTGAAATAAAAGCAAGGAGAATTCTTGCTGTAAATAAAAATGAGAAAGGAGCTCTGACTTTCTGAGAAAAGAGGATGCCAGCATGTTAAAATACCAGCCTACGCAAAAAAGAAATATCTGAAGAAGACACATTTACTGGTGAAATAGGAGCAGCTGCATGAGTGAAGTTTAAAATATTGTCTTTTGAAATCATAAAAGTCTGCTTATTTTTAGCTTGTGAGATGCTGATAGCTTCCTGTATAAGCACGGTTACATAAGGGACATAATCCACATGGCAGAAGGGCCCATACATGCCAAGCTATAAGATTACACAACTGCCCCTGAGCTTGCTCCTTCCAGGCAGAAAACAAAGCCTCACACCTCTCCTAACTGTTCTGCTGCTGCTGGGTCAGACTTGCGTATATTGCAACATACAAATGAATGCACTCATTTATGTGCACCTGTACATGCAGATATCTATGTATATTGCTTATACTTTTGCTTATCACAGCTTAAGCAAGGTATTCATTGAGCCAGAAAAATACTACCTTGGAATTATTCTGGTGACATTAAACAAGGAATAAACCGGTGTGTTTTAACTCTTAAAACCAGCACAGTTAAACGTCAAACACACACACTTACTTTGGGAAGCTACCAAAAGAGCTCTCCCCTCTTCTTGAATGTGACCTCTAACTGCTCCTTACTGCTGCGTGCTGTGGTATGTGGAAAGCACACAGTGACCTTGCTGAATGAGAACAAATTAGGGCTTTAATCTAATTAAGCAGTACGTGACAGCATTGTTTTAACTTGCGTTTTTTTGGAGGATCAGACTTGAGTCTCTGAGAATCTGTACTGTTCCCAGCCAGTATCATCCGTTGAAGTGTACAGAACTAGCATTTCCAACTTATTTTTAGAGCAACCTGTGTTTGCAAATACTCCTGCTATCTGAGTCTGGCCCAGATTGACAGGAAATTACTTTTCCTGAAACATAAACAAACAAAAAGTGGCTATCACAGCATCTTAAAGGTATCAAAGTTTCTTTGGCAAAAAACATTCATGTGTTCTTATTATGCATGATGTGCAATTTTAATTTACTGTCTACATCAAACACTTTCAGTGCAAAACCAAGATAACTTTTAACTTAAGCAACATTTTTTTTACCTTAGCAAGGAATTTTAACAGGAGAAATGTACACATGCATAGTTGTGCATGGTGTTACAAATCCAAACGGCTCTGAAATTTCATCCTTTTGGTTTTGTCTGTGAGGGCTGTTAGCACTTTTTTCTATAACAATATTGTTCCCATTTTTAGAAAGAGACCGACTCTGGCAGAGAACTTTGCATTTGGAAAAGCTGATGAAACCCCAAATGCTCGCATGATTATGTTCAGCCAGCAAGCCTTTCTCATCTGTTTTCATCTTAAAGAATCAGTGGCAGAAGAGGACTTCAGAAAGCACGTTAAATGTCCACATTTTTGAGCTGGGCCACTCCAGGCTACCTTTACCCACTCCAGCTTTGATTTATGGTGAGGCACTGAGGTCTGGGCTGGTCACTGCAAGGAGTCTCAGCTCACGTGGCAGTACACCACATCCTTGGATGGATATGCTCCCCTGTCATGTCTTGTTTAGATACTTGGTTCCTTCAATAATTATTAAGAAGCCCAGACCAATTTCTGATTTTAGTATTCTACTTCAGACAACCTGGCAATGAGGGTGCAGAACTGGGCTTTCAGTTCTTCACAGAAATATCTGAGCCAAACTCAAAAAACGTAGTTTCCAGGTAGATACACTACCAGAAACACTCATGCTCTTCTGCGTGAAGTGCTAACCTAGACTAAAGAAGAGCCGTTGGGCAAATTTACACCTGACATAACTGACAGACCCCTACGGACTTTAATAAAGCTCTGCCAATGTACCCTAATAGAGAATATACACCACAGACTGAATCAGGAATGCTACCGCTTTACCCACAGCATTTTTGTCGCTTATATAAACTTCCCCCAGAGTTGCAGAACTTTAGCTGATGAGGGCCTTATGTCAGTTTAATTGAATTTATGCTATCTAAGTAAATTGTGTATATAAGTCACAAGTTTATTCTTATAAGCCTACAGAAGTAATGCAAACTCTGTAAAAAGTGACACACAACATTTTAAAAACACATTTCACTGACACAGTGAATGAGAGTTACAGCATTTTCACATTGCCTCTGGTTTCAGAATACAGGACACCATAATACAAATCAGGAGCATCCAGTTTAAACACAGACCTACATTGGTGATAGGTACTCAGCAAAACTGGGCTAATAATTTCTATGCTCTCAATACACTAAAGTATGTGTAAGTTCCCCTTGAAGTTTAGCAAACTCTGAACTGAATAAAAGAGCTAAAGTAGAATGTATACAATCAAAAAGTATTTGTAAAGGTAAAACATCCTAGCTTTAGTTTAAAGGAAGAGTTCTTAACAACTGTCAGCTTTTCTCAACTTTAATTCTTTCTCTTCCACACAAAAATAAGCTTTTTACCTTCACATTTGCTGTCACCCACTGCCATTACACACGACAAAGCAAAAGGTCAGTGGCAAAGCTCTCCTGTAGGTTCTCAGCACAAGTTTGACTTTTTTACTGATGTAAAGCTTTCACTGTCAGAGCAGAAGCTTTATCTATTGAACACATGAGTAAAACATGAGTTAAAAGTAAAGGAGCTTGTAAAAAAGAGGGAGCTGCTTTCAAAATGCTTAATGTCTGAAGCAATTTCAGGAATGGCAGATGAAGAAAACAAATAACTGTTTAATCAACAGTACCTTTTGCCCATGCAATAAAAATTGGCTAAGAAACAGAACCCTTAGTGGCACCATTCTTACTTCCTTGCACTGCCTCAGAAGACTAGTGTGTAGTACAGAGCAGAATAAGCTGCATGATGGCTAAGAGGAAGACATAAGGCTTTTGTTTTCTTGATCTACTGAACACAATGTGAACCCAGCGCTCCATTAGCCTTTGTTCAGGCAATTCACAAAATATTCCTGTCCAGCCCTGGTAACACTGGCAGATGAATCTCTGCCTCATGGCTTCAATACTCTCCAGGCTGGGTTCACCAGTCACCTGGAACTTGAGGCCTCTCTCTGAGTGACGGGCTTGGATCTTGAAATTAGTGGGTGACAAATGGAGATAAGCAGAAGATTCACTGTTTTTGCGGATACATCTTCCATTCTTCTTGCAAAGGACTTTGCTACAGAGTTTGGCTGCTGATGTCACATTAATAACATAATGTCCTAAGGGTCCATCAATGTACCGTTTCACAGTTGAACAGCTCTCCTGTAGATAATAAAAGACCATGACACATTTCTCAGTACCTAGCATTATGTCCAAATTTATTATATCTAATAAGAAGATGCTAGTAAAAAACTGTTCTTGGCTAAAGTAATCTGTTGAGATAAATCTCATTGGATTTATGTACTGGAGTTTAAACAAGCTTAATTCCATGGGTAATATTAACAAAGTATTAACCTTTACTACCTTTTCTACTTGGATACTTGATAGAAACATCCAATATTAGACTAGGGAGGAGTCCCAGTAAGCAGAAAGAGAGGAGTTTATATGCTAAGCTGAGACTACCTAGTTCCTTAAGTAGAGATTTCTGGTAATTGCTAACAAGGATCAGTGCCTGGGACCGATAGGTTTTAAAGCACATATTGAACCACCACTTTGGTCCTGATCTCTCCAACTCCTTCAGTTTCCAAGGAGCCACGCCATTTTCAGAAACCAACACAGAAGTTGCTGCAATTGCAGCTACAAAGTCCCAGTTCATATTTTCCTCTTCTTCTGCCCAAGTCAGCAGTGCTTTTCTAGAGACTCCAGCAGGAAGAGAGCAGACTGCATGAAAAGCGGAGTAGGCACCAAAGCCCAGCCCAGGTTTAGAAGCAAGGGCTTGTCTGTCGTTGCTTCTGCAGAACCCCAGTGCAGCCTCCTGCCACCTCCATCACTTCAAGAAGGATTATTTATGAAAGCTTGAAGAACCTGGGAGGAGGAGGTAGGCCTTGCAGAACAAGGTAAAACAAACTGTGCTTATATTATTATGTTATTGTTTCAAAACATGTCTTTCTTCTAACCTGGACTCGTTATTCCATGATGCTACAAAGGACCTGCCCAAAGCAATGTTCTCTGAAGCAATGGGATTTCTCAGTCTGATGAAAGTATAGGGCTGAGACCTGAAGGTAGCACTAAACCATGATCCTCAGCTGATGACTTTAATAAAGATAGGTAGGTTCTGTGGAGTGCATGGTGGCAAGGAAGAGGTATTGAGGTGATTCCTAAATACTAATAAACTGTTACAGACCTACCTTTGAGCTGGCGTATTGCATACTCCCCCAAAGAACAACTCCAGCTGCTCCCAAAGCTGCACTTTCACCAATGGTATTTACCAGATCCCTCTGAAAAAAGAGGCCAAAACCAGACATCATCAAACCAAAGATAAAAAAATAAAAGTAAAAATGAACTGGGAGATGGGTATCAGTTCCCACCCACCCCAAGGAAACGTTGGTCATGTGGTATATTCTTCACAATAAAATCACTGTTTAGTTTAGCAAGCTCCTCTGTGTGTCTCCACAAGTTTGCATAGGTTGCATTCATTAATGTGACTAGTAAATAATTATTCACAAGGGGTCCTCCAGCAGACCTGGTAGAGTAAGTTTTGAATGATCTATTTTATCTACCAGCCTTTGAATGATTGCCATACCTACATAGGCACCATTTTTGGCAAATGATGACAAGTATGATCACACACCATTGGAGTACCCTTACAGCGTTTAGTTGCAGTTGATAGGCTCTAGGCAGGAGTCTAACTTGTGCTGCTTTAGCCATGCCAATACATTTACAGAGCTTCTGTTACTACCAGCATGAATGCCATTATTCCAGGAAACATATATTTGAAAAAGAAGTCTCTCCCAGTGCTACACAATGCCAACACTTGCACCCGACTTAACCACGTCCACTTTTAGAGCTGCACCAATAAGCAGTGGAGTTGCAGCAACAGCAGTAACACAGCTCTACCAGACACAGACTGTGTAGAACAGGAGTCACTGGTGCCTTGCCAACAACCTAGCAACATACCTTACAAGTGTCTTAAAGACATTCCACGAGACCATGACTGTTGTGTCTAGAGAAATGCAATTAAGTCTCAGAAAACATGGAAGAAGGATCTTCCACCCTCAAATTTCAAAGTGTGATCAATTACATCCAAAACCATTTCTGTCTACAAGAACGGACAACAAAGGAGTTCCTGATCAGTGTTTGTAACGACAGATACTACAGTATTTGATGAAGAAACAGCAATTTCCATTAGAAAGATACTGATGATCTTTGATATAGTCTTTTTACCTGTTTTTAGGACAATACAATCCAAAAGACCAGAAAAATTATCACAGTATGGTGGTGGCACCTCAGAAATGCAAAACGGCAAAGTGGAAGAACCAGGTTATTATTGTTAATTACTACTAAATACTTTATTTCACTCTGTAAGTGGGCCTGTTGATTTTCCAGTGCATAGTTAAGGAGTCCCCATTCCTGAAGCATTTATGGCCTGAGAGATAAAAATAGAAGGCCTTGACCCTTGACTAAAGGTTGGAGAAATGAGTACAGCAAAACCTGCAGAAGTCTGAAAAAGTAGAGCTTCTCTCCTGGCTCTTAGTGTAAGATTCAGAGGGATATAATTGGCCTTGCCTGAAATTCATGTTGCTGCTGATCACCCAAGCTGATTTTTAGAGAATGTCATTACTCTTAGAAGTATACAGTCTGATGCTAGTTTTATAAAAGGATAGTGGTGAGGGCTGTAGGTGTTACTTTTATGTGTGAGGGGTTTTACCTATGGGAATTTAATTTATCAATTAAAAAAAAGTATGTGAATTAAGGATCAAAATATTAAATGCTAAGAGAATGAGAAACACAGCCTGACCTCTTGGTAATGAGGATTCTCAGGCTTTCCTCATCTGTAAGCATTTTATGAAGATTACAGAGGCTGATCTGTGATTCTACATTAGTCACATGATGGTTGAATGATTTAGCACTAACATGGTTCATATCTCAGTAACAAGTTAATGAAACCTTTTCAGACAGACAAAATAAATAATCAATAGCTATTTAGCACTGATGTATGAGCTAAGACTTGAGCAAGCCCCAAAATAAAGATTTTATAAGTAAGTAATATGCTATAAGAGTTAGGGTGCTTGACCTAAGTCAGTAAATCCGGTTTTTATTCCCTCATGTTCCACCTCTTTCTTTTGTTACTGACTGAGATCCACAAAGGGATTTCAGCACTTCATGTCTAATTCATATGGATATAAAATAATCAAAAAAGAGCATGACCCTTAAAGTTCATCTAGTCCTCTGGGTGTGTGAAGTCCAATGGCACTGGTAATTTCACAGCTGAAGCTCTCAAGGCACCTACACTTCCACTTTCAACCCACACCTTGAATCACCACTTTGCCAATGCTGAGAAACTCAGCACTTTTCTCAGGTTAAGGCCAAAATCTGGCATTTGATTGGAATGCATATTCCCCTAGGGATGCTTAAACGATTCTTGTAGCACCTACACAGGTTTGGATACTGGTGAGAACAGCAGCTCACTGAAAAACAAAAACTGTATGAGCTGTCATATAAACACTTTTCTTCCACCTTACATGTCCACTTTTTGTATCCTTTAAGACAAAGTCTGAGTGCTAAGAGTCCTCCCCAGGAGGAAAGAGAATTAGAAAGACATGGGCTGAATTTTTCTTTCTTCCCCTATGTTTAAAAGGTACATAATCTCCAGCTAACCCTCCATCAGGGGTTACTTTCATGGTGAGGTTACACACAGTGTTCAGAGGGGTGCCATTTCTTTTTCTGATGCCATTTAACTTTACTCCAATTCAATACAGGTTCAGTGGAGAGCAAAAGAAACAAGTGGGAACCTGAATACAACTTATAATGAATTCAGCTTAATAATTAGGTAACTTGCCCAAAAGGAAAGAAGTAATATTTCTGACTGTAACTTCTAGACCCAGTTATGTCTTTTACTGAATGACTGACTCTCGTTTGGTATCTCAAAAGCCATTATCACAGAAAGGCTTTTCCCTGAATAATCTATAAACAGGAGGTTACACCACATTCTTTATTTTTGCTCTCTCATACACTTGTTACTTTTGGTCTGGTAATTTCTTAACTCTTTCCTGGTGTCCAACACTGGGTGCTGGATTCACCCTGATGAGCCTGGGAAGAGAACGGAGAAAAGAGCTCCCACACCAGAGGTGGGCAGCACTCACCCAAAAAGGGTGACACCACCACCACCCTCCCCTGCCACAGACAGGGTTAGAAAATGAAAGTTTCACCCACATCTGGGTATTTTTAGGAAAGGAAAGCAATATGCCTCTCATAATGGGTGAGAGTGGGAGCAGAGATAGGGAGGTACCTCTGTGAAGTCCCAAGTGAGGTACATGAGCTCTACCAGCAGCCTCAGACACATCAGTCCTGATTTTGGGATTGAACCTAGCACCGCTTACCATACAGCACAGCTTGGCATTACTGGGAGCTCATTGGCACAGCTCTTCTGTCTGAGATTAAGAAGTACCTCATATGGAAGAATACATGCAAGTTTAAAAAATGCTAGATATCATTTTAAATATGAGCATCTTGGCATTTTTCTAGGTGGAGAATCCTATTTCACTCCTTGTACCAGACTCATCCATCCATGTTAGAGGACTGTCCTGGGGAGGCAACTTTATGGGTCAGCTGCCACTGAAGTGTCTGATATTTCTCCAAGTGATAAAAAAGTCAACAAAGCCTCTTCCCTTCTGATGCTCATTCTCATTCAAGCTTTTGGGGGCAGTGTGCAACAACCAAAGATCCTCAAGATTATGTTGGGCTATCTCCAAGCAGAGAGTTGATTTGGCAGGGAGGAAGAAGCTTTAGTTTCTATCAGTGCTTCTCCATATTCTGATCAGCCAACTGACTGCATTAGACAGTAAAAAAATAGGAGGTGCTCTAAGGCATTTCAGTTTTAGAGCCCGAGAGGAAGCAGGACAGTCAGTTCTAGTTGCATGCTGAGGAAAGAGAAATAAATCTTTCCTTTAAATTTTGACTAGTCTTAGTTAAAGACATGCTTTTTCTGTATTCAGGAATGGCAGCACAAGCATGGGGCAGTTGCAGGGAATGGCCTCTGTAAACATGCACACCTGTTAATCAGAGAATACTATCTGTAGGTGAGCGAGAGAACTGTTAGTCATTATTCACCATTTGTTAGTTGTCAACCTGCTCTATTAATGACTGCAGCCATCTACTCAGGAAGCACAGATGTTACTGTGTTATCTTCCCTCTCCCACACACTTAAGTGGATTGTCAAGGCAGATAGTTTCTATATACCCTACAGATGGCAAACTGCTTCTCTGTATTTCATAATGATCAGGATCCCAATTCAGAATTTATAAATTGTTTCCAAGAAAAAAAGCAGAATGAATTTCTCAGACACCTTATGCTCAACTCACCTGATTTCCAGGTGCAGGCAGGGTGAAAGGTACAGCACACATAACTACAGCATCTGCTTAGGACCTGGGTCTGACGTCTTTCTGGAGGTCTGCTAGACCAGTGTCTCTCCCTCAGTGACTTTGACTCACAACCATTCTATTTTCTTCCACTGTGATATTCAGTGTATTTCATGTTGTGTCCAGAAGAGCTCATACACAAAGCTTGAATGTGCCAGGAATTATTTCTGTTGCACCAGAATATCACAGTTCTCATGGGACTTGATGGAACAGGACAGCAGTTCTCCTGACCCCAGTCCCTGTCAGAGCTCAGGTAACTTTTATCCTGCTATCTTAGTTTTAATATGGCCATTAAGCCTGGATGTTATTGTACTGCACCGTCTCCTTTCCTTGCCACATTCATGCACATCATTGCTGGAGCTTAGAGCTTTCGTGCCTTGTCTGTAGGTCTGTGAGCATCACTTGTGGGCATGTCATAGATCAAATGAGAAGCTCCAGTCTAGTCTAAAATCTGAACACACAAACTGATATTTAAAAGACCTTGATGGCTTCAGGGATATGAAGGAAACCAAGAACATTATTTTCCTATCATTCCTATTTAGATTTTTCTGAAGTGCAACCCTGCAAGTTCCTGGCAGTCCCCAGGCTGTTCACACATAGCCTGGAGACACGTCAAGCCCTGACCCATGGCTGACTGCAGAGCTTGGTTCTGTCCTTATTAGAAAATATGCAATAGAGTATAACCCAAAGATGTTTCTCTGGCTACGCAGGCATCTTCCTTGGCTGCAGAGTTGTAAAGTGATCTTTAAAGCATCCAAAAGTAAATGGCTACATGCAACTGAAAAAAGGCCAGTGAGTTAGAAAGTATAACATAAGAGGAATGTCATTACTGCTGTACTGTTCAGAAAATAGCTTTAGGTAAAACAATAACTTTATACCACCACAGATTTTGAACTTGAGCATAACTGGTAACAGCATATTAGTTTTCATACCTCTCAATAACATCTGTGGTATTTTTATGTCGATCAAAGGACTATTTTATATTATAAAAATATACTATTAGAAACTGCAGTTGAAGAGTGCTCAATTATTTCACAGCCTGGGCTCTTCAGTGAAGGTGTTCTGGGTGAAATCCTGACTGCACTGACCCCAGTGGGCCCTTGCCTTCAGCAGCAGCCTTGCCTATTTGAAATCCCATGTTTTCTGAGTCAGTTAGGACCTGTAGTTTCCACATCACACAGAAAATAGCTCCAAAGAGTTCCCAGTTGCTCAAAAATGAGGCAGACTGAATTCATGATTGCTTCTGTGCACCATTTGGTTCCTGGGGTCAGCCTGAAACACTTCTCAAGTTGCTAGGGCTCCACTGCACCTCCCCAGCTCCAGCTCCAGGCTGAAGCCATGTGCAGCCTGGGGTTTGCTGGACTGACTTGCTTTTTCCCTTAACTCCTCTCTCCCTCTGGCTGTTCTGGTTTGAGTCAAGAACTTGTCTCTATCAGCTGCAGAAGCGAGCTCTCACACAGCTCTCCATAAACCAAAGGGAGGGAGCACCCCCAGATGCCCTGAGCTGTCAAGGAGTCTGCCCCAGATTCCCTTCCCTCTTAGGGAATTCATAGAGATCAAAGTAAAACTGTTGGAACTTGGGACAACTACTAGAGAAATTAATAAGCATCTGTGCCTCTCTATTATGTGCATAAACAGGCAGAGCCACAATCATTACATACCCAGAAAGTCTGGTGTTTGTAAGCGTGTATTTTTACCATCAGTGTTGTGAACACTGTATATTTATTGCACTTGATCATTGGTTGAAGGAACATTGCATGACTCAAAAACTTGGTTTCTTTATTAAATTAACTCTGCAGTGTTAGCACTAAATGTTGGATCATGAAGATATTTGAACGTGTCATAATTCTGAAAAGTGAGATGGCCAATGCTCACCATGCAGGAGTTAGGAACTCCAGGCCAGACTACCTTACTTGACTATACTTGAATATAGACTATATTTCTATACTGAATGAATTTACATTCAGATAAACAAAAAAGCCCTAAGGCTCCTTTCTCATGAAAGTTTATCTTTCCATTACACTAATTAGTTTTAAACTTCACGAAAATTTGTCAAGTTCATTTCACAAGCTGTCCTGAAGAATTAAAATATTGGAATGAATTACTTCCTTAAGGAAATGTTTTATTTGTACTTTCTTTCTAAATTGCCCTCATTAAAAATATATGATATTATCCTACAGAAGTAGACCAAAGCACTGCAGTATTAACTCTTGAAAGGTGTAGAGATTGTACAGTAGAGATTGTACAGTACTTCCTTTTAGAGGGTCCACCTTAAATGTGAAAAACAAATTAATAAGTGCTGTTATAGAAGAAAAAAATTTAGCAGCTATTTTTTTTAAGAGGCTTTTTCTGCTCTCTACATTTCTAAAATTGTCTGCTTACCTCTGTTAAAACATGAAAAGTGTAGGCATAAAATGGCCTGGAGTAAACAAACACAGGTAAAACATAGTCTTTTCTAGCCATTGAGGCAACACGTATTGCCTCCTTAACCCGATAGTGAACAAATTTTAGTGCATTTGGACTTGACTTCAGTACATAATCCAGGTATATGGAAGGGTAGAGAGCAGTGCTTTCCTTCCACAGCCAGAGCAGGAGGTCATTGCGCTCAGACTCAATGGCTGGGCATTTCCCTGTATATGTTTGAGGGTGTTCTTTGTAATCGTAATTGTAGCAGTCTGGGTAAAGGTAGTAACCCCACAAACCATTTGGTCTCATGTGCTCAGCCAGAAGGATGGTGTTGTTCATGAAACTCTTGCCAGCATCTTCAAATTCCTCTTTAGCCACTTTCCTAATTCTGTCCTCTGACCACTGAGGATGCCGTCTCCTAACCATCTCAAGAGACTTATTTCTATATATGCTTTTGTTGCCCCAGTTCCTATCCCACTGGGGCCTCCAGTTTTCCCAGTCAATGACTGCAAGTCCCTGGAATTTCTTCATGGGTATGCAGTAGTCAATGTCAGACTTTGCTTTATTGAGGTGTTTGGTAAGACTTTCATTCTGGGGCACCCCTCCGTTGACAGGATCCCCATTATCTGAGTAATAGGGATAGTATCCCAGGTGCGTGTGATAGAAGATTGTCACATTGGATCCACTCAGAGTCTCATTGGTGTTGGATACAATGTCAAAAATACTGAGATCCAGGTCCACCTTGTACCGCAGCCTGCACTGCTCGGTCGGCGCATTCCAAACAACCATGAAAGGCTTGTGCAGACCCAGAGGGGCCCGTGCCGGCTTCGGCAGCTGAGCATCAACCATAGCGAGCAGCACTGACACTGCTAAACATCTGACCCAAGCATCCATGGCATGGGGCTTTTCTGGGAAACTGTTATGGTGTGTCTTTGAAAAGAAAAATCAAACAAGACATGTTAGAAGGGCAGTAGCCACCCTGGAGGCAGATAGGATGGCAAAGGGATGACTTTTGGTTTGATTTGCTTATGTCAGCATTATACCCAGCAGAGAGAAAAGTGCAAAACTAGTCTTGTAGCCTATTCTCAAGTGCTGTCAAAGACTTTTTGATAAACTTCACTGTCTGGAAGTCTGTTCTAATGCTCAGCTTTTTTATGTCTTTCCCTCTGACCCAGACACCTCCCACAGCTGATTCAGACCTTTCCTTAACACTTATTTGCTCCCTGATGTGTGCAAAAAAATAGCTAATGAAAGAATAACTTAAAAACAACAATATGAAGATGAATGTGCTGATCATTTGAAACTTCAGCTTCCAAGCCACTAGTCTGCTACAGTCTAGACTTGCCTAGAATATCATTACAGTGGGGCTAATGCCTTCTTTAATATCTGTATATGCTAATGGTCACAATAGGAAAAGTAGTTTAAACAAAAGGCAGACACTTGTAACTCACACAAATTAATCGGGAACTCAGAAATGCTGCAATTTTCAGCATATATGAAAAAAACCCCAACCAAAACTGTATTGTTACCTACACTTGAATTTAATTTTTTCTAAATGAATAAATGCAGTAGTAATAACCAGTCTTCAGGCTACGAGGGTGATACTATTAATGACTTAATGGTTTAAGCTACTGATTATACTGGAAACAAATTAAATATCAGTATATTAAAGAAAACCGATTATGTTAAGTAGATCTGAATTAGCCAAAAAAGCATGCTCCATCTTTAAAAAAAGGGACCTAGTTTGTAGCAGTAGGGGCCTATTAGCGTTAATTATTCCTTTCAGGATGTGTTGTTATCACTCGGGGACTATCAGTACTCTGGGAGGAGGAAGAGCGGCAGGGCTGCTGGCACCTCTGCCACCCCAGCCCCACTTTGCACCACATGGGGCAGCTGTCCACCCCCTGCCTGCAGTCAGCTGCTCCAGAATACTGCTCCTGCTTCTTCCCAAAGAAGGACAGCTCAGCCCTGTCCTGCGGCTGTCATTCAGGTCTCTTTGCTGGGAAATACAGTGCCTGTTACTGGAGCTGATGAGCAAACACTACAGAGTGGGGTCAAGTTGATAAATCAGCTTGAATCCAGAGCTGATAAAAATTGCTTGCTGTTACAAATATTACCACATCTATGGTATAACACGGTTTATCTTCTCGATTGTTATATCTGTCAAGTTTCTCCAGTTTAGTCACATGTTAAACTACTGCAATCACTTTCTGCAGTGCAGATTCAATTCATGAACTAGCCATGTGAATTTGAAATGTCCTGAAACTGGGCATTTTCTTACTTTACATCCATTTTGATTGACTTCTTTCCTTGCCTGTAAAGTCAGACCCAACAGTCTTACTGTAATTAGTCTAGCTTCACTTGTTGCTAGTATTTTCTCACTCGGATAACACCAGTTAATATCCTAACTGTTCCTAGAGAAGGAAGGCTCTTTGCATGTACCCATCCATTAGTGCACAGCTAGGATCTGTAGGTTTCTTGATTTCCAAACCACTGCAGTCAACACACCACTCTAAATACTAGATTTTTTAGTAATCCTTGGATATTATCTTTTAATCTGTAATGGGATGCCAGATACACAGGAAGGCTGCAGGTACCCTTATCTAAATCTGCCAGCAGTCTTATTAAAGAAAAACACTTTTTCACTGTTGGAAAATTTGTTGGCTTTCAAAAGTATTAAAACCCAGTATTACTCCCCCTGTAATTTGTCCTTCCTTGCCATTCTTCCATCCTCTGGGTTTGATGTTTCTTCTATCTGCTGATGCTCTCCCGATCTTCTGTCTTTCCCTAAAGTCTCCGCTTGTCTTTTTGTCTCCTATAGAACTGCCTTTCTCTCCTCTATCCCCAACCTTGTGTTTTTCCATCCTCAGTTCCAGAAAAGCATTGAGTCTTCCTGACCTGTGGCCTGGTACACGAGAACCTCCCCAGGAGGTGGAGGAAGGCAGTCTGCAGTAAACAGTGTCTAGGGGCAGCAAAGTGAAGAGCAGGATTTCAAGAAGCCACCAGGCAGGAACCCTCCGGGAGCAAGCCCTTGTCAGCAATCTAGGGTTTTATGTTCCTGTTTCCTTGCCTCCTCTCTGGCTGCTTGCTTTGCCTGCCTAAATATATATTTAGCACCCAAGTTTGGAAACTTTGCACACAATCGTTTAGATCCTAGTAAGGATAACATCCTTAAGTGAAACGGGCCATTGCTACAGGTCATTAGGCTGGTGCTACCTACAAGCATGCCTGTGGGAAAAGGATGCCAGGTTATTTTCACTTCACTGATCTGCCGGAAGGAAGTCATGTGCTTGAAACTGGTATCTTTTTCTGTTTTCCTGCAGAGTCTTGCATAATCATCTAAGTAATACCATAGGCTGAGAAAACACAAAGAACAAAAAAACAAAAGCCACCAAAACTCTTTTCCTTCCTGTTTTATGCAAACTGATGAAAGCATCACAGGACTTTGCACTCGTTCTTTGATGCAGCAAACTCACTTTGTACATCTGCAAAGGCTTTTTCATGATTTGGGCTGGATCACTTTGCAGTACATGAGAACAAGCTTATAATATAAACAAAGGTTTTCTCAAAAAGCTATAGCTCAGATGAAATGGGAGGAGTGCCAGGAGGGAGAGAAAAGACCTTTAGTTAATTCCTATGGAGGAAAAAAATCTGGGAAAATATCCCAGCTGCTTGTTCCCACAATCCAAATGCTGATACTGCTCAGCCTTGTGTTATTATGTACATATAATTACATCTTTTTTGTCAGGTATAATGACTAATACAGTACAGTTCTTGCCTAGATCTGACAGCCCTAAGCATTACAATATTGCAGATAATAAATCATAGCAAAGATAAGCCAGGAAATAACAGTACAGGATAATGTTAAGTTATATTTTTAGTTCCTGACTAATTCTTGTCACTGTCTCTGGCAAGGTTTTAAAATCACAGCATCACAGAATGGTTGAGGTTGGGAGAGACCTCTGGGGGACATCTGGTTCAAACCCCTGCTCAAGCAGGATCACCTAGAGCTGGGTATTCAGGACCAAGTACTTCACAAGTAACAAAATGAAAATGTTTATCTCAGGACATGTTGAACAGTTCTAAAGGGTCTTTTGAATGGATTGACCAAATCTTCCTTGAAGTCATGAAAAAGCCTGGATACCTTGCTCAACTGCAGACATGCAGATGTCTGCATCTGCAAGCTGAATCCCACAAAAAAGAAGGGCAAGAATCTTTCTAATCACGTTTAAGCTATTTAGAATTTAGAGGTCTGGTCAAGGACCATTCAGGGGCCTCCAGTGAATACTGGACACTTCCCAAAGCTACTATAAATTCCTATTTAACACTATATGGAAGCAGTCACTCAGCTGTCTGCATTAACCTTGAAAAGGAGGCGTCAGCTGCCTAGGTGACATGCCTATCTTTTATATGGCTAAAGCATCTCACTTTTCCTGCTACTTTCTATTACACACGGGAGATATGCCCATATACAAAATTCATTAAAGAGGATGTTATTTGCTTGTTTTTTCTTCAAAAAGCCACCTGAAGCCAAGTGAAACAAGTTTTCAAAGAAGCAGGTAAGCCTATAGTTCTGAAAGAGGAGAAAAAAATTATCATTCTCTCACAAATGCACAAAAGAACCTCTAAGCAAGAACAAAACATCTTTTATCGCTGTTTCCACTGCTGTATCTTCGGACTTTTTAGTTTCATGCATTGGCACTAATTGGGACTGCTTTAAACCCTGGGGTTTTTAATGAGCACAGGCACTAAGAGTTCCTTCTTGAAGCATATTATCAACCTTAATCCAAATTCTCCCATTTTTCTGATTCAATGGCGTTTTATCATGGTTAATTTAACTTTCCAAAGATGCACATAGCTTTCTGAGGCACTACAATTTTTCAGAGCAGAAACTGTTCTCAGTGTTTCTGCTCTATATTCTAAAAACAAAAATGAATTCTTCATAAGTGAAAGAAATAGGGCCTGATCAAAAATCCGTTAAGTTGATGAGGTTGGTTTTCTTATTGTATTCAGGGAACTTTGGATCATGTCTGCACAAAAACCATGCAGTTTTCTATTTGCATCAGTTTCTGCTATGCAGTTTAGCATGAAGCAGGCTACGGCTGGATTTCAATATATCCTTTGATGAGTGTGGTGAAATTCGGTATTTCTTGGCTAGTAAAAACAAGTTTGTTTCTGCATATTCTTTTCTTTACTTTTGTAAGAAGAAACAAGCAAACATTTGCTTTTCCCAAGCAGATGCTGTTAACTTAGTCAAACTTTTATTTCAACTGTGTTTATTGGTCAGAATTCCACTGTATTTTTATTTCCAAATAGTTGATAACAGCTGAACTAAACATCCTAATTGCACACTTTGATTCCAAAATAAAGAGCTTAAAATTAGTAAAAAATACAGACTCACACCCTAAAGAGACATATTTGTGCACCATGTATTCCAATACAATGGGGCTTTGAGCAACCTGGTCTAGTGGAAGGTGTCCCTGTCCGTGGCAGGGAGTTTAGAACTGGGTGAACCCTAAGGTCCCTTCCAAACCAAACCATTCTATGATTCTATTCTTGCAGCCTTCTTTACAAATGAATAAAAATACAAAAAAAAACCCATACAGTTGACTTTTTCTTTAGCAATTTGTATTACAGTTCACTTCCAATAGGTGAACACAGACACCAGGTTGCACGACACAGTGCAGCATCTCTTTATTTTTGTGCAAAATGCATGAGAATAAATTCAGAGAGCAAGGAGATGGGCATTCAGGCCCATGCTATCACTGGTGACATTTTTGTAAACTGTGGATTATTCACCTTCAAGCAGATGGAAAATGCCAGAGGACATTCTCGGGTGTGTGTCACAGTTTTACAGTAAGTCATATTTGGGCCAGAGATCTGCTTAGGCATTT